GTGACAGAGCAAAACCATGTCTCAAAATAAATTAAAAAATAAAACCACTGATCTACAGGGCTTAAGGTATGTTGCTTAAAAAGAGAAGATTCAGTGATGTGGAAAATTACTAACTGGACAGTAACAGCAAATTAATGAGTAAAAATTACTTAAACATATTTGAATAAGATAGCTACGTAAGAGCAACAGTATGGCTTTCTTTTATATGTATTTAAAATGCTTCTTTCTACAAAGATAGTATTCTATAAACAAGGTTCTCCTATATCTGGTAAACTCTGAAGTCCATATTTTTCTTAAATCCAAACACATATCTCTGAGGTCTGATAAAAAGTTTGTTGGATTAATCAGACTAAATCAATAATTTTGGAAAACTAGGCTTCTATGCTTAAAGGTACATTTTTTCTTGACATAGCCATGAACTCTATGGAGTTTCAGGTTTTAAAAGGCCAAAGACGAACACTAAAAATATTTTAATTTTTTATGACCAAAAAACCATATTATCATGCAAAGCAAAAGGAGTAATAGGGAAAAAGAGAGGAAGAGAACATAGACACTCATTTGAAAGTTCCTATGAAGGGGAAAGTGTTGATAAATGTGTTTATAAAGCAAAATACCCTTCATATGCAGAAGGTAGTCTTTCTGTAAATGGAGAAGAAAGGACTTCCTAGAACTAAGCAAATAAACTCGTAACTAAGGATCTTCAAAACTTACTGGGATCATAATATAAATATACATTATATTTTATATCCTGGAAACGGTGGTGTGTAATTCAAAGTGACTTCTACTGTCAATCGGATTAGGTTCCCTGTCCTTTTGATTAAAATATCAGATTATCTAAACCTAGGCCATTTTTCTTACTAAGTTATATTTCACAGTAACAAGACTTGACCCTGTAAGATCACTTTACAGGAAAACTAGAATAACATAGTATATTATGTGCATGAAATACAGTGACATGACTTGGAAGGGAGATGAAGTAGAGTGAAAGACAAGAAAAATAACACGGACATTATTTTCTGTATTGTAGCTGCATGTGAAAATAAAACTATCTACATTATTTTTATACTTGACTGTATCTCCCACAGTATAATTTTAAGCCAATTGTCTCAGAGTCCAATAGACGGAAGCTGTTTTCTGCACAGCATCAACAGACACTGACAGTTTTATCAAACCATGTTCCATCAGTTATAATGATTCTCCCTAAGTTACCAATTATTAATTTCATAAATATAATAAGCAAAATGAAAAAAATTAATTTGTCTCTGTTGAATTGGACAGGTGAAACGAACACAATTGGTTATGTTTAAGTACTGTCCCAATAAGACAGTTAAGTTAATGCTTAGAAAAGCACATGAAAATGGAAGAAGTCAGCCAACAAACCAATCTACCAGCCAATAAAGGATACTGCTGAGACCAAATTAAACTGCACAGCATTGCTATCAACTTCTGAAATGATAATGCTTTTTGGTGGGTGGGGGCAGTAGGGCAGCAAGGAGGTAGGAATAAGGCAGAAGTAGGGGAAAGATAAAAGGATGGCTCTACTTGGGATAAAACATTATGTACTCCATAATGAAAAAAACAAACAAACAAAAACCAGAAACATAAAAACAACAAACAAGCATAGTAAGAAATTAGGAGAAAAAGTACGTCCACAGGAGGAACCATAACAAAGAACACTTTATTTATATTCTAGTATCTGATCAAAAGTTGCACAAATAGGCTGGGCACAGTGGCTCACACCTATAATCCCAGCACTAAGGCGGGCAGATCACTTGAGGTCAGGAGTTTGAGACCAGCCTGGCCTACACGGCGAAATCCCATCTCTACTAAAAATACAAAAATTAGCCAGGCATGGTGGTGTGCACTTGTAATCCTAGCTAGTAGGGAGGCTGAGGCAGGAGAATTGCTTAAACCTAGGAGGCAGAGGTTGCAGTGAGCCAAGACAGCACCCCTGCACTCTAGCCTGGGGGACAGAACAAGACTCTGTCTCAAAACAAACAAATAAACAATAACAACAACAAAAAAAAAACAAGCAAAAAAAAAGTTGTACCAATAAGGCAACTTTTTTGAAGAGTACTTAAGAGTATGCAGATTTGAGTGAAAATCAACAAACTCAGCTGCAAGGAGGGACAGACATGTAATTGGTTCTTATATTTTTACATATTTCTAGTATTACGAATTTTTAGCCATCTCTAAGTACAGATCATTTGTAACAACATAAAAATGATGGTGCTAAGTACTAAGGATAATACAGATTTACAAACAAGCTCAATGTCCCTCTCCTCATATTACATAATAAAACATATAACAGCGTGGACAATGAACTCAGACCTGGGTTGGAATATGGTTCTATCACTTACTAGCCATGTGAACTTAGGCAATTTACTTAGGTTCTCTGAGACTTGGCTTCCTCATCTGCAAAATGGGAATAACAATAACCATCACTTAGGATCATTATTAGGTTTAAACAAGATAGTTTTTGTAAAACATTATCATAGTACACTGTCAGGGTTTCCTAAATGGTGCTATTGTTAGTTCTGGCCATGCTTCAAAGCCAAGATAAGTTGGAGTGGTTAAGAGAAACATTATTTCTCAGAGGAATCAAATTACATGGCTATGATCATTATAGAAATTCTATTTATTAAAGTAATAAAGGTTTTCTTCCACTGTCTACAGAAAAGTTAAGAGCAAGAAGGTTAACTCACTTTCCCACAGGAATTAGCAAAGAACTCCAGTTATGTGAATCCTAATTCAATGCATCTTTCCAACCAGAAAAGTATCTAGAATATAATTCTTAACTGCTCTTTGTTTGTTAATTCTACATTTTAAAGTATTAGATATATTTCACATAATTTTTAAATATAATCAGAAGACCTCTCTCCTTATTTTTCTTCTTTATATAAGAAAGAAACAGATATTAGAAAAGAATGTTAATTCTTTGATCTCAATGGCCAGCATTTTTTGAAAGATTGAGAAAAAGAGTATTTATACAGCAATTTTTTTTTTTTATCAGAAACCACTATATTATTCACTTTGTGACCTTGTCAAAGGACATTTTTGGTACACAATGCTCCCTATTTATGTTCAGGTTTCATATAAAAATAGTTCATCAGAAAATCTAGAAGAACACTTTGTATGGTTTTTCTGAAAAAGAACAGCAAAAATTATTCAGAAAGATATTGTCAGGAAGCTGACAAATCTCTAAATAAAGTAGAAAAAACTTGATCCAATGAAACTAAATACCTTAGAAATTGAATCTACGCGGCTACAAATGCAATAGCACAAATGTGGGTGGTACTGATGCAGAGAATTCAGTTCTCTGTTTCCTTGAAGAAAAAGAACAGTACATGTACAATGGCATAGGAATACTAAAATATTTAGTTCCTGTAAAGGCAAGGTATATCTACCATATTACATTTAGAAGTACTAAAACAATTTTCAATGTTCAACTCTCCAAAAAAGCTTTTATGTAAAACAACAGTTATCCTAGAGTATTCTACTGCTTTAACAAAATTAATTTCAGAAAGGTCAGCTTACCAACTCTATTACTTCTACATTTCGAACTGATGGGTCAGGCGCCACCTCTGGCCAATTAGATAATTCCAGGTACCCAGTAGCTTTAACGTTGAGAGTATGAGATAAGGTGCCAAGCTGGAAATGATCTCTATCTATTAAAAATAGGGAAAAATATAAAATAAACAATATGAGCTGTATATAAAGAACAATCATAATCAGAGCTCAAGGTAATTGGCATATTACCTCAAATGTCAAGGAATAAATATAAACTAGGAAGCTCTTCATAGGTCAAAAAACTGATTTCAGTCCATAGATTACAATAATCTCCCCCATAATGGTCAATAAAAAAGCTAATCAGTCAGTGTGTTTAGAGGTGTTGCTCTGAAATGTAGCTTCTCTAAAAATTACTTTACTGTGAATATTAAGAATGACAGCACAGTTAAACAATCCATATACATGTCTTGGCACAAACACATCCAGAATTTTAATAGTTTTTCTACAAAACTGAATTGCTTTTGATCGCTTTACTACATTAAATAGGAAACAATATGAAAACTAAGGTATATAATCATTTGATTCCAACTGGAATGGCTACTTGTAAACTGATAAAATACTTATTAATCCTTTTAAAAAGCTAGGAAACATAAGTCGACTTCCTTCTTTGAAAATCCAGTTTAAATATGATGAGGTTTTTTTAATAAAATAATTCCTCCTAGAAACACTGATATTAGTGTACACAGAATATTTAATTAATAACTCACTATTAAAAAGACATATTTCTTATAAACTATTCAAAATACAAATGAGGTTATTATGTATAAGAATAACACAGTTGTCATCTATTGCTCAGTTTAAATGTTAGAATAAAGTCAGAAGGCTTAAAATTATTTAGGTAAATAAGGTCTACAAAAATGTGAACTTTAATATAAAACTTGCTTTTGAAAGCAGATGAATGAGTAGAAAACATATTGTTCTTATATATTTACATATGCTAATCATTTATATTTCCTAAGCAATAAATTTTAATCCCATTAGAAATGGCGACATCCTGTCATAATTTTTTAGATAACATATATTTTGTAGTTATATTCTGATAATACCTTTAAAAGGGGACTCAAGCAGTGGTGCAGGTTTTTGTGCTAGGAATATTTTTTTGGCATATTTACTTAAAGCTCCACTCTTTTCATTCGGAACAATAAGCTGCCTAATAAATCTTGTACGGTCTCTGATGTCGTAGTTTTGATCATACTTGCCGAGATTTAATATGTACTGGGTAAGCAATTTTGTCTGTTGGAAAAAAACAGATCAAGATGAGAATACAGTTATTTATGATTATTGATAACTCTGGATAAACATATTTAAAGAGGTAATAAAAACGAATGGTTATGTCAAACAAATGTTGTTCCGTAGGGAATATGCATTTCTAATGCTGCAAATGGAATTTTGAAGCCAAAGCACATGTCCTCTTCTGTACTGGGGAGGTGAATGCTGAGTATTGAGAAGCAGCCATGTGCTAGATTATTAAACTGCTGAAGTGGAAAGAAAGGCATCATTAAAAAAATAATCATATATGGCAAACCCGCTGAAGGGTCTACGTGAGAATAATGAATGTGGAAATACAACTAAAAACATGGCACTCAAAACTTAATCGGAAAAATATGCAGGACATCAAAACATCAGAGAGTATTAGGGGGCTGGCAAACTGCTTCTCCTGAGGTGTGTTTTATGAAGAGATACTGTCCCTGGCATAAGCAGTGTCTGCACTCTGACTGCACTCAGTTACTTTACCCTGAATTATGACCCATTAAAGCAGACACATGAATCACTGAACTGGATTACTGCAAATTATTTGCAGTGCATTTAGCTGTTACTTTTTCATAAAAGCAAGCTGCTGATGCCCTCTAAAAACTAGGATAAAAGACTTCTTCCATTTTTCCCCCATGCTGCTTATAGCCTCTAGTAATATTGGTCATTTATTTATTTATGTAAGGGAAAAACTTATTATAGTAGCTTTTATACCATAATAAGACTTCCTAAGTCAATTTTTGAAAGTACTACATTAACATATATTGAAATAATTTTAATAATAATTAAACCAAAATTGAAACGTTAACAAAATAGGTTTGTATTTTAAACTACAATTATTTTACTGAAAAAGCATAGTTTTAATGAGAAGGCTACCTTTGTACAATTTTGATTATAAGCCAAACAGAATTTGTAATACATAGGAAAAATAAACTGAGGAACAGTAAATCATTTACATTAGATTAGAACATTTTATACACATTAGATGCAGATTAAAAATAAAATCAAGTTAGGCAGAGCTAAAGACAATTCTAGAACAATAAGTCAAAGTAGAGGAACGGTGTGGTAAACTCTTTTACAATAATTGCTTAAGATAATTGATTCGATAGAAGGCAACCTTATTTCAGTAGCAGGGTATTTAAAAAGGATTAACCTAGTTTTATTAAAGTAGAATTATAAAAAATACAAGTGAAAATGTTAATAGAGCTATTATGAATTTGGGTACCAACAATTGCTACTCACTAATTGCTAGAACATGTTGGTTCAAGTACAGATAAGAACATTTCCATGATTCATTTCTTTAAAGACAATTAGCAAAATATTAGCCAAACGAGGAATACCATTCAAAACCAGCTTAAAAGAAAATGTGGTACACTAAACTGTGTAATTAACTTGCTGGAAAAACCCGGAAAATCCACTTAATCATTAATTTTCTCAAATGTGGAGTTAGAATTTACAACGTGGTTAACTCTATAGTCCATTTGAGTACTGAGATTTTAAATCTGCAACTAAAATAAAAGAAAGAGTCTCTTAATTGCAATGATTTTTTTTTTGAGCTAGCAGCATAATACATTTTGCTTTATTTCTTATCCCCAAAATTAATTTTTGGGAAATTAAACATTTTCAATATATTAACCAATTGGGAAAGTTAGATAGGGCATTTAAAGTAATGAAAATTATATAATTTAAAACTATTTACTGTATTATATTGTAAGAATGTATTATATTGTAAGCTTATAAATAAGTTTTATTAAAATGTATTTTCAAAAATCACATTATCTTGAAAAGATAAAAACATTTTTGTGTACAATGATGCATTACAAACATAAGCAGAATAATTATTCATCATACATGAATCAGTTTCTTCACTGCATTTATCTAGTAACAATGCACTGGTATTTCTCTGGAGAATACATTTTTATATGGTCTAAGTTTTTTTAAAAAATAAAATTGCAATCTTTTTCACAATTAAATTTTTGCAAGGAGTATTTATGAAATTGTTGACATTTTCAACTTACTCTTCTCTGTAGACCATATTTTTAATGGAGAAAATATCCTCTTTAGAGTATTTCTGGACAACCACATAATCTCAGGAAAAAATCTATTGAATGAAGAATACTCCCAATCCTTGCTTTTATGTTAAAAACTGTAACTATTTCAAACCCAAATATTTGACTTTTCCCCATTTAGTCAATGAGTTTTTTCAATATTGACAAAATTTTCAAATAATTATTTATCCTTTTAAAAATATTTCATCAACTTAGATACTACAAAACCAACCTTCTCAATTTCATTTCATTCTACACAATATAAATTTTCCACTGAAAGTCTTCACAATAGCTGAGATAGTGCAAATGACAACCTCTTGATTAAATCTTGAGCTCTCACCATTTAACCTGTTCAGTTCTTACCTTGCCTGTACAGGGATAACTTTCAAAGTCTTTCTAATAACTGCTGTCTGCTAAAATTTTTCAAAAGGTAAAGTTTTTTGGCATTTACTAGTGGCACTTTAAATAATCCAAACAATTTGTGAACCAAAACTTAACCAACATACAGAAGACTCAATTACAAATAAAAAAAAATTAAGCCAATATAAGACACTTAATTTACAAAGTTCTTCATAAACTCAAGTATCGAAAATTCTGTTGCTAATATGCATTAAAGACAGTGTGTATTGTTATGCTACAGAATGGTTTTTCAACATGAGTTTCATCATAAGGATTTTACAGTTTGGTCAAACTGTATATACTAATACAAGTTAATTTGACCACTATAGTTTTATTTCAAATGGCTGAATAAGCAGAGTTTGTTTGTATGCACCATGACCAATTCCCAAAACATTTCTCTTCCATAGTTTTCTTAATTTAATAAGAATATTGATTTTTACCCTGACAACACCCTTTCATCAAAAACAATTTTATCTTCAATGTTGAACTTTTAAATTTACAATAGCATTTATAATATTTTGACAGAATAAACTTCCAAAAGCTTTACTTTGTTCCCATTTACCACCCTTACCAAACAAATATACAAATACATTGAATGAAAAAAGTCTATTATTGGAATTAACTGATTTTTTATTTGAAACCAGCAGTGTTGGGCGTTTTTTCTACTAATGGAGCCAACACATTAACAGCTCTTGTTACACTTTTCATATGTGCACAAGAAAACATAGAATAAAAGTAAAAAACTAATTTTCAAAAAGTTATTTGATCTAAATGAGATCATGTTTCACATGGAATTATATAAACAACTTCTGCACCTGTATGTATTAAAATGTTGTCTTAAAGCATAATTTAAAAATAACTACTAGCTTTTTAAACGGATGTTGATTCTTTTGTAGCAGATTGTTGTGTCTTCTGGTTGTTGTGTGGTCAGTGAGATCACTACCACTCTCATGGCGGTTGGAAAGTGTCAATAAATATTTTGTGCATTTTAAGTGCTAAGTGGAAATTTACCACTTTGTTCTTTGTTAAACACACACTTCCATTTTAAAAAATTTATTGCTGATGATTTTATAACAAGATTTAAAAAAAGAATTGCCAAATAAGAAAATAAACTTTAGATTTACTCTATACAACAAATGACAAAACTACTATAGCAAGAGTGCTTTCACCACTCTTTAATGACCTACGGCATCCAGTCTTTATTTCCTGCACATATTTCACCTACAACCAACCGATAACTTCCCATGTTTGCATTTCATTCCACCAAGTGGCAGCCTGGAGCCTCATGCATCTTATAGGCCATGGCAACACTTGCTGGTATATTAAGTTGCTGACAAATGAAGCATTGTTAAATACTCATCTCTCTACCTCCAACAAAGCAAAAGAGAGCTATTCCCACCTGCTTTGTCAGAGTATACTTCATTTATCAGCACACACCCTGCATGCTTTCTAAAAGGAAGAAGTTAGTTATGTTACATCTAGAAAGGGCTGGAAAAAGATATAGTCCTTCAGATTTAAATGGCTCACATATTAAAATGAAATCTCTGTTCAATGCACTTGTGTCTTAACATGCCAGTAGATAAAATTACAGCAGAAGCTGGAAGACCTCAAAGCAAAGGCCTACAAATTAACTGTGCTATTTTAATGCAAATATTAGTGATATTACTTCATTAAAAATTTGGGACAAATCCTAAACTAGATGGCATGGAGTCAACAGGCATAAATTAGATCTGTCCAGAGAAACTGTTAGGAAGAAAACAGACAACATTTAAGTAAACAATCATGACATTTTAATATCACCAGAGGCTCAATCCAAAACCAGATGGGACATTAATTAAATAGTACTTTTAAATTTGTTTTATTCATACATTACACAAGATAAGCAAAGACAATATAATGTACTATCCTTAACAGAAATATTCAATATCATACACAGAGCTATTTATTAAATTTTGTTTTCAGACTAATTTTCCTGCTTAGATTTAAGGAACCATTATTGGTAACAACTAATGGCTAATGCTATCCAGATACTATTTACAGCAATTACATTTTCTTCAGATTGACTCTAAGTCATTGTGACACAGGAAAAATGAATTTGAGGAAATGTTACATATAAATTAAGAAAATCATTATTTAAAAGACTTCTCAAAATATTCTAAAAATAAACTGGTAAATATCTATTCAAACAATACCTTTCTTCTAATAGATTGTTAAGTCAGTACAAATAATGAAAAAGGTCTCTTAAAATATAGTCCTAATATATTTTACCATTAATACTATAGTTCTAATAATATCTTTACTATTAGATAAAAAGGACACAGAAGTCTGCATTTGGCATGGTAAAGATTTATATTGGTTCTACATTGTTATTTTTCAACAGAACGATACCGACAAATGTGTTTGGTAAATGAAGTAAACTCTACATAGAATTCTTATACCAGAGGCAAACCTAAGCAGTACCATTGTTCCATCTGATTAGTTTCTTAATTTCATGACTAAACAGAATTCTTTACGTGATTTGGATGGAATTTCTGAATTTAATAGTAACCACCTTTTTGTCAACTTGAAAAGTTTTCTATAAGGTCTTCCTTTCTATGTTATATTTACTTGAGTTTTTCAATGCCAAGAAAACATATCAAAGAAAGGATAGAGATGTCACTGCAGAGTGTCCAAGCCTCCTTTTGTTAAATCACATTAAGGAGGCTTTGATGGGAAGGAGATTTCTCCAAAGACCTGAATCACAGGACAAGAGAGAATCTGCTTTTAACATTAGGAGAAATTACTAAAACATCAGTGTGATTTACAAAATCTCTCACTAAGAATAAAAAAGAACTCAAGGAAGCACTTCCTTTTTTAATAGCAGAAAAGTAGAAACTTAACTGTCTCATAGACTGAAATAGTAATTATATCTATACATATCCATATTTCAAAAACATGATATTAAGCAAAAAAAGCTGCAAACTATATATAAAGTGGAATATTTATGTAAAATTTGAAAACTCACAAAATGATCGTACGTTGCTTATATTCATGTAACAAAAATATAAACATGGATGACTGAATGAAACACACCAACAAGGTGGCAGTGGTTACCAATGGGGAAGAAAGGAAGGTGTGAACAGGAGCTTGAAGTTCTAGTTCTATACATCTTACATTTAATAAATAAATAAAAGGCAAATGTGAATATCAACTTAATCTTAATGGTAGATATACACATATGTATTTACGCTATGATGTACTTTTCCATAGGTTTCATAATTTAAAATGTGCTAAGAAAAACATTAACTTAAGGCACTTATCACTACATTTAAAAGATGACACACTATTAGAGAAAGCTTTAAAAACAAAAGCATCTTTGATTTGTTAACTTTTAAATTGTTATTAATTAATTTCATTAAATCCTACCTTTCTTCCTCAAACTTCAGTAGACTGTTTCAATGAAATCATGCTAAATCTTTATACTGCCTAACGGCTCTAGATTGCAGCAACTTCAACTGGTTTCAAAGTCTTTCAACCTTTTTCCCATGTAAAAGTGAAATTACTCCTCTGTGAGAGTATTCTAAGAGTGTTTTCTGCTCTTGATATTTATTTCTAATCATTTTTTTCTTCACAAACTGAAAAAGGGGGGTAGGGGGGTAGATTTCAGCATCCTACTGAGAAAATCTCAGTAGGATAAACCCAAATGAGTGGGTTTTTCCTAATAAGAATACAGTTTTTCTCAGTAACTAGACTAGTTTCTTCACTGTAAATCATCATATTCCCTAAGAAGAACATAGCAGTTGCTCGATAGGGTTACAAAAGAAGGGTAACGAAAATGAACTAGGCACTATTATGTGCCAGGAAATCTAAGCATTTTACATGAACTGTTTCATGTTATCCTCATAATAACTTTGTGAGGTAGGTACAGTCAGTTCTACTCTAATGCTTGTTTTGAAAATGTGCATTTGTTCCAACTCAGTTAGCATATTAGCGAACAATTTGGGCATAACATGAATTTTGTGGTGATTTCTTCTGCAAGAAATACTAGGTGAAGGCATAAACAGAGCTAAACAGAGCTATGTAGGAATACATAAAACATACATACCTCAAACATGTATTTCAGAGATTAACATCTACATGTGTTATGTGCCATACTCACGCTCATTAGGAGGTACAACTTTCCATCCAACTTCAGATTAATCCTCTATCACTTAACAAGTACAACATTTCTTCCATAAGCAAACCTCAAGTCTTTTTCAATATAAAGAGCAGTATCACTGTAGTATTTATTGTTAACCATTTAACATGTGTAAAATTGTGCTCCTTTAGGTTCCTTTTTTAAAAAATATGTCACAAACATAGTTTTTGAGTGTTGTGACTCTAACTCCATTTTTTCCAATAATTCCTATGGTTTTTATTGTTGATTTTGTATTGCAAAATAATTTTAGAAGCATATATGTTGCATTATAGCAAAATTGACTATATTATAATAATTCCCATTTTATAGATGAGGAAATGAAATCTCGTATAGGTTACATGATTTGTCCAAAATCATGTAGTAAGTGGCACAACATGATTTGATGCCAGTCTAAGTTTAGAACCTACATTCTCTATCACTACCTGTCTCCCAGTAATTGATATCAAATAGTTCTATGCATACATAATTTTAATTAACTGCTTTCCCAATACAAACTCTCATCTGAAAGAGCCCAGAGTTAGAACTAATTTCAGCTTATAGAAACTCATCTAAGGCGTCTTAAACATAATGTAACATAAAATTATTAAAAAACAGAACATTTAATACTCAAACTAGACAAGATGTTAATTTTTCAGATACTGGTTTTTTTTCAGTTCTAGAACTTCCACCTGATTCTTTTTTACAGTTTCTATTTCTCTGCTGATATTTACCTTTTCTTTCATTCATTTTCCTTTATGTCACTAGCCATATGTGTAATATTTACTTTGAAATGTTTGCCTGCAAATTCCAACACCTAGGTTGGTTTCTGCTGATTTTTTTTCTTGAAAATTCATCAATTTTCCATTTTCCTGGTATTCTTCTTTCTTATTGTGATTAAATAAACATAAACTTTTACCATTTTAACCATTTCTCAGTGTATAGGTTAGTGGCATTAAGTATACTTACATTTACCATATTATGCCACCACTACTACCATCTATCTGTAGCATTTTTTATCTTCCCAAATAGAAACTCTATATTCATTAAATACTAACTCCCCATCCTGGTTCTTCTTATATTGAGTAATTCTGGATATATGAGATATATTTGGACATTATGAATGCTATATATTTTAGAGACTCTGGACATTGTTATACTCTTTGAATAAGTACAGGATTTTTATTTGTTTTGGCAGGTAATTAACTTGGTTGGGGTTCAAAGTACAAACTCTGTGTCTTGGGTACACCTCAAATTTCAGTTTGGTTCTTTAATTCTTAGCTGTGCTGCTCTGAATCCACCCTGCACAAATGCGGTTCAGAAGCCAGCCAAAAGCTTAGGCACAGTTATTCCCAGATTTTTCTACTATTTTTCCCTAACTTTCCAATGTCTGTAGCTTTCCTGAACCCTATTCTCTACTTCCTCAAGGCAGAAGGACTTTGAATTTCCATTTGGAGGTCTAGCCTAAAGTGTTCTTTTGTTCTTTGTTCTACATTTGGCACGAGTGCACAGTGCCAAATGTAGCCTGTCCTCAGGATAAAAGCCATAAAAACAGGGAAAATAACTGTGTGCCATTCCTTCTTCTACGCAGAATTCTCCTCCAGATTCTCTTGCTTTTCTTTTCTATTCTGTGCCTTCAGAAAGCTGTTTGTTCCTTATATTTTTCTGGAGTTCACAGCTGTTTTCTATGGTAGGGTCAGTCTAAGACCTACTAAAAGCATACTGTTAACTAATTTTTAAATTATATTTTATATCAGTTCAAAAATATTCTAAGGTAGTTAAGTTTATTATTTGATTTTTCTTCAGCACACAAATACAATATGCTAAATCTTATAAAAGTCAATTTAGACATTCTCTGAAACTAAATAATTCAATAAAAATTACAGAAATGTTCACTGAGGTATTTAGGCCACTGGGAATTCAGGTCTACAAATAAATATCAGGACTTCATGGCAAACCAGCTCCTCAACAGTGTAGCCAAGTCTCCCTACCTTAGTTTTAAAGATGACTAAAACAAATAAGTATAGAAAACAATTTTTAATATTTCAATCAAAACAATTATTTTAGTCTGTCTTATATCCAATAGATTATACAATTTAAAAAAATTCTATCAAGTTGATGGTGTTTAAAACCATTCTTTAAAACTAATTTTCAAGCTGGGTGTAGTAGCTCACACTTGTAATCCTAGCACTTTGGGAGGCCGAGGCAGGTGGATCACTTGAGGTCAGGAGTTCGAGATCAGTGTAGCCAACATGGTGAAACCCTATCTCTACTAAAAATACAGAATTAGCCAGGCATGGTGGCGCATGCCTGTCATCCCAGCTACTGAAGAGGCTGAGGCATGAGAATTGCTTGAACCTAGGAGGAAGATGTTGTAGTGAGCCAAGATCACGCCACTGAACTTCAGACTGGGTGACAGAGAGAAATTTTGTCTCAAGAAATAAAAGAACACTTTAGAAACTGAACTCCAAAACTTCCATTACTAATACAGTTCAAGAAAAAAAAAAAAAAAACTGAGTGCAAACTAGTTGTCTTCAAATTCACTGGATAAAAAGAAATGAAACATGTTCTACAATATCTAAATAAACAGTACTACATTCCATTATTGGTTATTCACAGCTACAAAGAAAAGGGCCAAAGAAAGAAGCTTTACTTCATTTGATTAAGTCTTGATTGACATTTGATTTTGGTATTACTTTACAATAACCCATAAGCTAGATATATTTAGAGTACCCAAACCAGATAGAAAAAAATCATAACAGTCTAGATAGTATACTGACATTTGCCATACCACAGGGATTTAGTGAACACCATGGAGTTTCAGGCTAAAACTCCCTCTATTTTATCAAGAAACATGAAACTCAGCCGCAAACATAGGTCTTTCCTTACTCAGGTTTTATAAAGTATCTCAATATATGAAGAAATCTACAGACACTTGGAAAGGATTAACTGATTCCTTATAAAGATGACTTAAAATGTAAAGATAAAATTCAAATCATGGAAATATGCTCCAGTATTTTCAATTATCTGGTTACAAATCTTATACATGAATCAGCAAAAGCTAATATAACTCATATCATGATTAGGGATGAAGATAATCCCAAAGCATATAGAAATGAATTTGGAGAATCAACCTGAGGATTCTGAAAGTAAGCAAACATTAGCTTACTAGAAAATAAGTGTGGCCTGTGGGGAGGCAGAAAAGGTAGACAGAGAGGGAGACACACATAGAGAGATACACAGCAAATCCAAAAGGAGAGAAACAAACAGGGATGGAAGAGAAAGGAGAGAATGACAGACACTGGACTGCAGTACGGGGTGGAGCAGTGAAAGGATGAAGGGTGTCAGAGAGATATCTAGAAAAGAAAGTTTTGGGGGAAGGGGACAAATACAAAGACAGAGGGGATGTGGAGGAAAAACAAAATCACCAAGGCAAAAGTAAGAGTCAGAGAAAAAGCGAAAATAACAGAAAAACAGATAGGTCACAGAGCATAAAGCCTCCCAAGAAGCGTAGCTGCAAATGGGCAAGAATCTTTTTCCAACTGTATTAAACAGGTAAGTCCACTCACAGAGAATAGCAATTCAGATATAGGAAAAGTCCTTATTTCATACACAGAAGCAAAAATGATTCCTCTTATTAACAGGTCCTCAAAAGTTCAAAGGACTAAAAAAAAAAAAAAAAAAAAAATTCTAAACTGAGAATCTGGTAAATTACACTACTAAAACTAGTTTCTGGCACTTTGGGAGGTAGAGGCGGGCAGAACACAAGGTCAGGAGTTTGAGGCCAACTTGGTGAGACCAACAAGATGAAACCTCATCTCTACTAAAATTACAAAAATTAGCTGGGTATGGTGGCAGGTGCCTATAATCCCAGCTGCTCGGGAGGCTGAGGCAGGAGAATCACTTGAACCCGAAAGGCAGAGGTGGCAGGGAGCCGAGACTGTCATTGTACTCCAGCCTGGGCGACAGGGCAAGACTCTGTCTCAAAAACAAAAAAAAAAGGGTGATTTTCTTTTCCTCTGCAGGACAAGGTTCATACTACTTAGCAGAGCATACAAGCCACTCCCTGTGTTCAAACTGCAAAATCTCTTAATCCATTTGGGCTACTGTTAGAAAATACCATAAACTGGGAAGCCTATTAATAATAGATTTCATAATAGAAATCTATTTCTCACAGTTCTGGAGGCTGGGAAATCCAAGATCAAGGTACCCACAGTCTGGTGTCTAATGAGCACCCATTTTCGAATTCATAGATGGCACCTTCTCGCTGTGTCCTCACATGGCAGAAGTGGCAAGCTAGCTCTCAGGGATCTCCTTTTCTAAGACCATAAAGTTCATTTATAAGGCCTCCACCTCATGATCTAATCACCTCCCAAAGGCCCTACCTCCTAATACCAACACATGAGGGATCAGGTTTTACCATATGAACTTTGGGGGACATAAACATTCAGACCATAGCACCTACCATTCTGGACTCATCTTTAAATTTTCCAGAAACACTACACTATTTCGCGACTTTGACCCTGTGCTTTCCTCTTTCTGTACAGTAAACTACTACTTACAAGCCCTTAGTCAAGACTCTCATACTTCATAAAATTTTCTGACTTCTCGTCTATTTCAGACTTTCAATAATTCCTCTAGAATTCCACTGTATCTCAATACTTCTGCTACAGCATTACCACACAGTTTCATTTTTTAATGTTTTCTCTCCTACAAGACTAGAATGTCATCTCTTTGCACTAGTGCCATCTAACAGAACCTGAAACAAACAGGCACCTAGGAATTGTTGAGTGGTCAGACTAATGAAGGTACAGACCTCAGCTGTTTGATCAGAGTGAAGAGGAAAGTATGTATTAGATAGGTTGACTAACGTTTGCCTCTCACCTGTTTGGAGTTGGTTAAATACAATTTTGCTCCCAGATTTAATATCTGCAGTTTTACCAGATCATCTTCACTGGTGAAGCTTTTAGCCATCTTCCTCAAAACATCAGGGGCAATTTTGGGAACTCGTTCACAGTTTTCTCCAATTAGCCAAAGAATACTTGCTCTGGCAACAGGAACCTAATATGAGAAGCAGATTACATAGTTAAAAGTAAGTTAATCATACTCCAATATTAACATGGAAAAGGGTTTAACTGTTACAAAAGTTTTACACCTATTAATTCATTTAATGTATATCTAGGAATTGTTCCTGTATTTATGGATTTCTTCAGTTACCAAAAAATAAACATATAGGAAATTTCATTAAAATTGATTTCTAAGAGAATATCTTAGAAAAGATTCACAGAGCAAAAACCAGTGGTCTAGAGTCTAGACAGAGATGAACAAATTCTGGAAGCAAGTCTGGCTGACCATGCCCATTTGTTTCTCCATTATCTGTTGCTGCTTTTGTGCTATAACGGCAGAAATAGTCACAATGAAGACCCTAAGGTCCCCAAAGCCAAAAATATTGAATGCCTACCAATTTACAGAAATGGTTTGCTAATTCCTGCTCTAGAGCAGCAGTTCCCAAACCTCAATGCTCATAAAAATCATCCAGGGTTCTTACTAAAAAGACAGTTTTCTGGGATCAGCTCCAAAATAGTATTTCTGTGGTGGGGCCCAGAAATCTATGATTTAAAAAACACCATAGATGATTCCTGAGACAGGTGGTTCACAGAGTCCATTTGAGAATCTGTGGATGATACAGAAAAAGAAATGGATCCATATTATGATTCCAAATCAAAACTGTTTTTGCTCTTTATGTATTAGCATCTGCAACGCTGGAAATATATTAAAGTTATAAGATGATCAAGGTTTGTTTATAAAATCATGAATCCTGGTCTATTATTTGGTCAGCAAAAGATATAGGGATAAATTTGTCCAATATTGCATTTTGGCATTATATTTTTAAATAATGTACATTTCAATATAATTTATCTTCTTAAAAGTCACTGCTTTGTGACAAATTGGAAACCTTCCATCAGTACCATTAAGACCAACAATTTAGAGTATGCAAATTAGTTTTATTACTATTTGCTTATTTGTATCCTCCCCTATTCCAAAAGGAATTTGAGAGGATGTGTAAATTAATTTCAGTGAACATTTTCACCTCGCACAGAAAATTTGTTTTTTATAGTAAGTGAAAAGGCTGACAGCTATCATTAAAAGGTGGCATAATGAGGAAAGATAATGCTTTTTTATAAAGTCCTTTTACAATTTCTCAAAGTCCTACTATTTTCTGTATAGTTTCACGGCTATACATAGTATGCTTGTTAAAGAAAAAAATAAGAATAGGGACCTTTCCATAGCTAAAATTTTATCATAATTTCTACCATTGCAAAATCTTTCAAAACACTCATGTGATGAAATTATATTAAGATATAATATTGAGTCCTTCATTAGAATCAGAACGAGGTGATCAAAAAAGCCTTTAAATATAAAAGATATACATTTAAAAATATTATAACAGCACATCTTTAAATTATTATTTAGCATAAGTTTAGTAAGACAGAAGAAATCCATAAACTTATGCAATTAAAAAAAGGTCTAAGTGCTGTGACAAATCTATTCATGCAGTGTGATAAAACCAATACCCTTACTATATACTGATTTCTGGAAAGAAAAGAGGTTATTTCTAATGTTCCAAAGGTTACACTGCATTAAGACCTTACTCCAATCAATTATTTTAAATTGGGCTAAAAAATAGTAATTGAGTGGTACATTAAATTTTCCGGTATAGAGCAATTCAAGTTGCCTGCCATAATGAAAGGTAGTTCTAAATAAGAATATATGTGCAACTTTGGATTTCAGTTATGCTAGATTTATTTTTCTTAAATATTTTATTATATATTTCTAGTATAAAAATTCGAATTCTATGATATAGCATAATCTATTACACCATTTTAAGTACTTTTCTTCTGGCAACACTCTTGCAATTAAAAAGACAATTCCAAAAAGAAGTAATGTTTAAAGAGATTGTTTATATTCATGAATATACTAAAATTAAAATTAAAATATTGGAATATTGTAAACATTCATAATACACGCATTTAAAATACAACTCTTTGAAAAAAAAATCAATAAATCATAATGCTCACAACAAAAAACTCAAAGTGGTGGTGAGAATAAGATATGTAGTTTTCCAGAACTGAGCTAATAAAATCCCAAAGTAAACATTTTTAAAACTTTGAAAACGTCACCACAAGAAATAATATCAATATAAATATAATAATACCAAACTTTTGGTGATGGCATTTTATTACAAAGCTTAGA